GTGGGGATGGTAGAGAGGGGGATTGTAAGGGTGTGGACTTCTAGGATGACGCTGGGGCAGATGATGTGACCCTGAGAGAAGGGATGGCAGGCTAGGAGAGCAGGGAGAGGAAACTGCAGGGCAGGCTCAGCAGGGCTGGAGGAGAGAGAAAAGCACAGGGTCTTTGGTCTGAAAGGGACCATCTTAGAGCTTGAAATGGCAATGTTACATCTTCCTTATCTCTGTGCCTTTGCTTGTGTGGCCTCCCTGGCTTAGAAACCTGACCAGGTTCTTCCACTACAAATTTCCCCCTTTTCAGGGAATAGCCCATTCAGATAGCCAACAATCTTACTTTCTTCTACACATGTATAGCCACACATTTTGGCGCTACATTGCGGTCTGCTCCTGTGTGCTTCCATGTACATTCTTCTCATTTATCTGATTTTATGATAAACTTCCAGAAGGCAGAGAACTAATCCAATATTCTGTATGTGTACTTGCCACTTGGCATGGTGCTGAGCCAAAGCACACTCTCCATAAATACATGGTGACTGAGTGGATGAAAGGAGATCAATGAGAGAGAGCAAATGAGGGAAGTGGAGAAACCTATGACCTGCTAAATCCCAAACTGGATGAGCAACTCCTGAATAAAAGCTAGTTGTGCTCTATGCTCCCTCCACAGCTTCTAGTATCTGCTTGGACTTCTTCCTCCCCAAATACTTCCTTCTTCAATCTCCTCTGCCTTCCTCCTGTAAATAGCTTGGACTCCTCATAGCCAGAAAATATGCTATATGAGCAAATCTGAATCCTAGGGCTTCAGTAGCAGAGAGGATCATAAAAGATCACTTAGTCCATATTTATCATTTTGCAAATCAGGAAGTTTAAACGAACCCAAACAGATACAGAGGACTGTGGTGACTTGTCCAAATTGGCAGAGCTGGCTAAAAACAGAGCCAAGACCAGAAATCTCCCATTATACTTTTCTTGACACCATATTGCATCTTATCAGAGTAAGCAATTTTTCTATCCATCTTAATCACAAATTCTAATGTGTCTATGAAGAAATGTCAAACTTTTCAACCTAATGTTTCTTCTCCAGAATAGTTTATAAAAGATTATCCTTGCAAAAGGGGGGATTGGAGAAGGGAAGTTAATTTGAGTACATACTAAGGGGCAAGCACTGTGCTGGGAATTTTATATATTAAATCTCATTTCATCTTCATACCACTGTAAGCTAGTTCTTACTATCTTACAGAGGAAGACACTCAAGAAGATAAAGGTACTTGATCAAACCCACCTGGTAAAGTAGTAGCATAATGGAGATCCCATATCTGGTGGCTCCCCATTGTCTTTTAATTAAACTATTAAATGAGATCTCTTTTCTTGTCAACTCTCGCATGAAGTAAGAAATGATTTAGAGCCCTGAGAGGAAAAGCTTATGGCAACATGAAAAAATTACAGGGTGGATTCCTGAAACACATAAAGGATGAGCAGTTCAAGGTGAGCACCCCTTTCACAGAGCTGAAGGCTCATCCTTCAGACAGTAACTGATCACCTCACTGTTCTTGGGAGTGAGACAAAGGTGTCATACTGTCCGGCCAATGGGTTTCAGCCCTGGGCAAGTTCACTACGGATTCAATGTGACCAAAGAAAATGACAGTAAAACGTTCTTGGGGTGAAAGGGTTATACCCAACTTTATTTCCATGGTGGCAGGTCAGTCATTAAAATCCCATTCACTCAGAGCGAGTGTGCATGCAGCAAGCCAGTCTCTGGGCCCCTCTGTCCTCACAGCTATCCCACACAGCTGTCCTCTGGGCCTCTCTGTACAGGTGTCCCGCACAGCTGTCCTCTGGACCTCTGTCCTCGGCGCTGCCACCACTCCAGCCTCTGCTCTGCTCTCCTGCAGCCTTGCAGCTGTGCCACCGTGTATCCCAGAGCACTGGGCGGAGCTCCTTATATAGAGTCAATAGCAATGTATTGCCCACACGTGTGCAGTGAGCTAGTCAACCAGGGTAAGGTGAGAATCCTTTTTAAACAGGAACTCTCATTTTATCCACACATACCTTCAAACTATTGGTTATTTTATCTTTTAAACCATTCCTCTCTCATTATCCAAAAGAGAAGGAAGCTTCTGGAACAATGCCTGCTTTGCAATTCTATTCCCATTTGATCTTATCCAAGAGTGCCTTCTTTGTAGAATGTCACCATGGAGACTTGATCAATCTCAGGCTCATGCACTTAATCTTGCAATGTGTTGCTGAATGGCTGGTATTCCTTCTTAGGCCAAAGGACAGCAAGTTCTTAAATGATTCTTTTAAAAAAACAGAACTGTGGACAAAATGTTTAATGAGACATGGTACTTGAGTAACACATAGGATTAAACCTGCTATTGTTTGTATAATACAACTCAGGATGTTTGAATTAAGAGGAGGAAAATGAAAAGGTACATCAAATGTGTTAACCATTCCACTGCTTGTCAAACTTTCCAAGTTTATTTCACTCAACAAATACTTATTGAACCAGGTAATATCTCAATTATGGAGATATGGAGTTAATTAAGACATGGACTTTGTCTCCAAATAGCTCAAAATCTGGCTTAGGAGAGAGGTTAACTATAGTAAAATGTTATAAATGCTAAAACAGAGCCAGGTGGGGGGAAAAAACAGAGAAGGGGAAGAACTAAGTCTTTCCAAATGAGGGTAGAGAAGGTGAAGAGGGCTTGGGAAAGGTTTCTTATGTGAGATCCCACTTGAGGGTGGTCTTAAAAGATGGATTCATAGGAATTCAGTAAGTAGAGGAGAAGAAATGAAAACAGCACCTAACAAAGGCTGGGAAGTATGACAGGGACAAGGTAGTTAAGAGATACGATGTAAAACCTGGGGTTTGTAGGAATTGGCAGGCAGTGGTAGTGGAAAATTAAGCTAGATATAGAATGTAAAGACTCGATGGTCCATATTGATGCATGTTTACTCAACCTTGTAGCGGGGGGGAGGGTTGAATCATAAGCAGGGATCAGAATATGAATAGTTTTATTAGGACTTCTTTGAACTTCAAATTGAGAACAATGAGGATCTTTGTTGGGCTTTTGGCAAGGGAAGAATATGATCAGATTTGTGTTCTAAAAGGCTCATTTTCCTAAGGGAGTGAAGAGGAGATTTACTTCAGGCCTGAGAAGTCCAGGCAAAACTGACAGGCAGGGTTGCCAATCATTGCGTCTTTGTAATCATCTAGGCAAAGAGGATTCGTTTGAACTCCCGGAAATAGCTAGAGATAGTCAAGTCCAAACATTACTGTCTCCCCAAAACTCTATGTTTAGTTGTAATGTTTTCTAGAACTTCTTTGAATTTCACCAGAGGTTATATATTATGGCTGTTAAAAAACAAAATTCAATCAAGTAAATTTGAAGATCTAATTGGTTTTATTAAGTGATTCCTGAGTCAGGCAGCATTCCATCTAACAAGCAGAAAAATGCTTCAAGGAGTTGTACAAAATGGAAGGTTTTTAAGTGATTAGCAAAAGAGATTAGGGATTGCTTCTAGAAAGGTCACTTTCCCTTAGGAGGAGCAGGGGTGAGAGGTCTTATGCAGATGACCCCCTAGGAGGTTCTAAACTGATTGGTTTAAAATTCCTCTCCTAGAAGAGGTTGAAACTGCCAATTAGGTTGAGCATTAAGCCCCAGTTTTGTGAAGTGGCCTAGCAGAAGTGACCCCAGGCTGGGCCTATGTTTTTCTTTTTAACATGGCTCTTCCCCCTCCAACACCTGTGGACAATCCTTTTCTTGACTGGCAGATATTTAAAAGAATAGATTGGATTAATCCTCATTTATTTTTAGCATCTTCCAAGTGTGCATAAAGGCCAAAAAGCATAATACATTAATAAGAAAATGAATAGGTGGCCTCTCTGCCTTAGTAGGTTACCTTCAGGAGTACTAGGCATTAAGTCTTGAAGTGGATAATTGAGAAATGTAATGTCTTGAAGGAGAAGGGGTCAAGGAAAGCTAGAATAAGCCCAGCACCATAGGGCTCACAAATGAGTGGCGTTGGACCTGATGGCAGAGGGGTAATTTCAATATAATATGTCACATACTGCCAGAACCTAGACAATGAACTCACCACATCGGAAGTGATGGCTACAGTCAGGAGAGTCTACCTCCCTTCAGGTGAAACACAGAAAGGGATGCTAGGTCCGCTGTCACATTTAAAAATGTAAGAGATACCAAGCATCCAAGAGAATGCTGTTTCTTCTGAAGCAGTGTGCTAACTTCCCTTTTATCCACCTACATCCCACAGAGGCATTTGGAACTCAACTCAAAAAATTATAACACTTTTTTTTGAGGGGTGGGGAAGGGTGTTTCTTTATCGCTGTGATAATATAATGCAAAACTCAGATATTTTAATTAGGAAAATGTACTTGCCCTCACATTTCAAGGATTTCCAACGCCTCTTGACAACCGTGCATGGACCCAGCTCCACAGATTCCGGGTTTGAGCTCCACAGATTTCGGGTTTGAAGTTCCTTAACTGTATTTATAGGTTCACAGGTTTTCAAACTTTGCCCCATATTAGAATCACCTGGGGTACTTTTTTAACACTCTCAACGCCCAGGCCACCCCTGTTTCGATTAAATCCGAATCTCTGGAGTGAATCAGGCATCAATATATGTTTTAAACTCTCCAAGCGATTCTAAAGCGCAGCCAGGTTTAAGAACCAACTTACTGGTCTCTTTTGGCACGCAGTTGACTAATGCTCTAGGGTCGTTGGGTGCTTTTAATCATTGCGTCAATAGAAAGGCGTCTGTCGAAGAAATAATGCCCTCAGGATCATCTTAGAAAAAAGGAGTACCTTTGGGTCCGGGTGTGCGCGCTTTCCCAGCGTTTTCCCCGGATCAACAAACAGCTGCATTTCCTTCAGCGAACGCCAAGGGGCACCCTCTCCCTCCTCGCTCCACCTGGGACGCCTTCCCCTTTCGGCTCGCACAAAGAGCCCGGCCTCCTCCCGGGTGACATCACAAAGGGCCGATTGCCCGCCCCTTCGGCGCCACCACGTGTGTCCTAGCGCTCGGCGGCCACCCGACTCAGTCCCTCGCCGGCCGGTCGGGGCAGCGGAGGAGGTGGCTGGCAGTGGCTGGAGGCTTCGCTATGGGAAGTGGTTCCTTTGCCCTCTCGCGCCCAGCCCTCCTCCCTGGTTCTCCGCAGCCGCTGTTGGAGGAGAGCACCGGGAGGCGTGGGGTGCAGCCGCGGCTGCCTCTCCCGGCCCGGGCGGCCGCGCCGTTGGGCAGGTGCTGAGCGCCCCTCGGAGCCTCCCTGACCGCCTCCCTCCTCTGCCCGGCTGCCCGGCTGCCGCAGTGCACATGGGGTCTTGGAGGTAGATGGGCTCCCGGCCCGGGAGGCGGCGGTGGATGCGGCGCTGGGCAGAAGCAGCCGCCGACTCCAGCAGCCCGGGGGCCGCGTGCCCTGGGCACCCGTGCGAGCCCCGGGCTCAGCCATGGGGACCCCTGCGAGCAGCAGCACCGCCCTCGCCTCCTGCAGCCGTGTCGCCGGAACCACGATGATCGCAGGCTCCCTTCTCCTGGTGAGCGCGCCGGGGGCTAGGGAAGGGCGCTGCTCTCCCGGAGCCGGGAGGGTCCCCGGGCCCGGGCTGCGGGAAGCACGAGGTCTGGCCGGCTGGGTCGGGGGCTTGCTAGCCGGGGACGGCAGTGCAGCGAAGCGCTCGGACCGACTCATCGGAGGGAGCTGCAGGGTCCAGCCGGGACTCCGGAAAGAAGGCGATTTGTTTGCCTTGCAGTCTGGCTGCGCTGGCGCCAGGCGCTGGAGGTGGCCCCCGCGCTGTCCGCGCACTTCAGGGCTTTTCCCCCGGCTCGGCCCGCCTGGTGCCCCACTCCCTGCGCACCCCACGCTGCACCGGCCGCTGCCCTCCCCGCGTGGTGTGGGGCTGGGCTGCGGCGTGGCGTGGGGGCCGGCGGCGGCCGCTGCTTTGTGGCAGCCGCAGTGTCATGTCGGGATGCTACCGCAGCGGGAGAGGTACCGGCGCGCGCCGGCCTCGGGCCCGCCGCGAGCGCGGCGCACAGCATTCCCGAGTAGGGCGCCGCCGCCCCTCCCCCGCCGCGCCTCCTGGGCCCGGGTGGGTCCGCGTTTCTGCAAGCCGAGCCAAGAACCCGTAGACCCACTCCCTGGCGCCTCCAAAGCGCCGGCTCCCAGCCAGCCAGCGCGCCGACACTTGGGTGGGGGGAGGGAACGAGAGCGCTACATAAAGGAATATGAATTTTCTCCAGTCTTTCCCATCCCTCTTTACCTTTGGCCAGGCTGGTGACCCTGAAGGGTGGGGCAAGTTCCTGTTAAGCCCCCCAGCTGCCTTCACCTCTATGGAGTGCCCTTTACCTAGTCCTCCCTATTTACCTGGTCAAAGCCCAAAACCACCCTTGACCCCAAACTTCCCCCCAACGCCCCTAGATTCCTTAGCCTTCTTTCCAAATTTAGGGGGAGGGGATGAGGTAGGTGGAAGAAAATTTGAGATCGAATCCTTGAGCTACCATAAGATTCCCATGCCTTTTCATCTGCACAGAGGATGAAAATTCTTAGCTAAATACCAAACAAAAACAAAAAACAAGAACCTATTTTCATGGCAGGGCTATGTAAGGGAATGGCTGGCTTGCTGTCTCCCTCCTGAAAAGGGCTGCACGCCCAGCCAGCCAAGATCTCTCAGATCCCGGGCGCCGCCGTTGCTATGGCCTGGGAATTCATCCTACAGCCACTCGGGTTCCCTGGGTGAGTGTGTGTTTTAAGGGGAAGAGAGAGGCTAAAGTTTGGTGTTGATAGCATTTATAATGAGGTAACTCCCAGTCTCCCTTAAGAGTCTCTGCCCATTTATAGTAATGACAAAGTCAAGATTGGTACCCTTGAAGCAAATGTGGGGGATGCCGAGAAGTGGGGGTCTCTTCAAACAGTGAGTCTGGACTGACAGTCTTGACGTGTAAAAAAAAACATCCAAGTCCATGGGAACAATGTTGGTCATAACATTTGTGGAGTTAGATCCATCCTTGAGTTTCCTTCTTGGCTTTAGATCTACTACTCTACGCCCCTACATGCCTATCTAGTCCCTCCAGCCATTCTGATTATTTTGCTCTCCATAGAGTCCATTTCTAGATTAAATCTTAAGTCAGTGAGATATTTTCATTTATTTTACCTTTTAAGCGTAAAATGGGGTCATACAGTAAGATCTCTATGTTGGTGAAAGTGTAGGTTGCTTCAGCCAACTAAGCAAGAGCCCAGCTACTTTTCTTAAATCATTAAACTCAGTTTACCTAAAAATTGTTCACTGGATTTGCAACTGAAGACCTGAGAATTTAGGCTTGACTGTCTTTTTAAGAAATGAAATTTATAGTGCAGCTTAGAAGGAATCTCAACATGATAACTAAAAGAGGAGTCTTATTCTCCTGCTAGCTGTAATAGAAAGGCTCTCCTTATTTGTGGAATGGCCTGGGGTTGAGCCCTTTATCCCGAATATACAAGGGGTCACCAGGGGTTTTTGCTGTAACCCCCAGCCAGGGTGGAGTGGCAGTGTCTTTTGTTTTTCCTATCTCTATTCTGCCAGCTCCAGTCCTCAGAGCAGGCATTGTTAACCTATAAAATGATGATCCCATGACATTGTTATAAAGATTTATTTATCCCATTAGGATTCTTGGCCATGTGAAAATGACAGACAGCGGGTACTAGAATGCAGGTGAACATGGCTGGGTGCTCAGAACACTCCCTGGGGAAGTGGAGAGGTTAGTGACCCACCCGGTTAGATTAAGACATAAACCCAATAAATGTCCTATTTATTATGGCTTTCATTTACCCCTCTTGCAGATATTTCCCTTTTTGTGTGACAGTATTTGTTATTGTCATCATTGATACTTTTTTCTTGTGATGATAAGCTAACTGTATGAAAGAGAATTTACTATAAGCCTAAGAAAAACTACCTGTACATGATATCTAATATATATGATTATATATATATACATATATGCATATTATATATGTATATATACTTTGTATATAAATTATGTGAAGCAGGTGGTATTATCTCCATTTTACAGAAAGGAAAACGGAGTCTGCAAAATTGTCATTGGTTTGTCCTGGGCCACACAGCTCACAAGTGCTGGCGCTGGGGCTGGAAGCAGGACTGCCTGACTCATCAGCTCACGCTCCCTCTTTTATGCCACACTGCCCGTTTCACAACTCCAAACTGCTAGATGGTGAAGTGTAACAGCAGGGAAGGCTCAATGGAGGAAAGCCCACCGAGCTGGTGGTTTGGTTTGTTGCTGAACTTTAAGAAGAATCACATGATGGGAATTACATTATGAGAATTACAAATGCCTTTGGAAAAAAGCATTCTTGCTGCTTGCACTTCAGTTTCTGGTGCGTCGAGGTGTCTGCATGATACTGGAAGGTAAACCACAGACCGAAAGACACAATAGTACACATTCCAGGCCAAGAGTCTGGAGAGAAGATAAATGAGACCTTTAGGTCTGTGCCAATTTAAGGGCTTGCCCAGTGTGACACAACACACTCAGATGTCTCCTGCCCTTGGGGAGCTTTGACTAGACAGATAGATGATGGCAGTGGGGCAGTCAGAAGAGAAGGGAGCCATCATTGATGAGGAAATGAGGTCTGAAATTTTGGAAACCACTCTTCTGTATGTATTGTGTATTCCAGATAGATGGACATTTGCAGGAAAAGTCTGTTCAGCTGGGTTCCCGCCCAAGTAGTATTTGTCACTGTCATTGAGACTGGATGTCCACCTTAGTGCTACCTGACCTTCACTTACCAAAGTGAATTATCTAGCATCTTGGCACTTTGCTTCTTTGACCAGGAGGGCACGGAGTGGTCTGGTGGGGGCTGAAGTCCTCAGTGGGTTTGGGGCAAGTTCAGAGAACTTTGGATTAGAGCTGACATTATATCCAAAAGATTTTCTCCTTTCTAAATGCCGTAACTCCACAATCCTAGACTGAAAGCTGAAGGGAAAATAAATAGGGAAGCGACTTTAGTTTTCATGTTAACCTACATTGAGCACCCACTCTGAGAGAGGGACTGTGCTAGGCAGTGGGGAATCCAGGTAGGAATTAGGATTTGGATCTTACCCCATAGGTAGTTTATATGATCTATAGAATGTGCAATTTACATGATACATAAAATGCACATGGCTCTCAGTAGTGCCAATTGGGTTTCATATGCTTATGTGGAATCATGGATGAATGTATTATACTGAAGGTAGTAACACAGAATATGATTGATGTTAAAAATCTTTAAATTACTTGAAGTAACTCTGTTAGTCTGAAAGTAAAAGAAGAAAAATCTTCTGAGTCTTAGAATACCATCTGTTAGCCTCAGTGGGGACAGGGACTACAGTGGGAATACAGACCTGCCCTGGAATGCAGGACTCCTGACTCTCCCATCCCCATTGTCAGAATGTATAGAACAAGACTGAACTTCCTCATCTGAATGGTTTCTAAAGGCATATGGCTGAATTTGCCTCAGGTCCAAAACAAACCAACCTCTGGTGTAAATAAAATACACAAGCAAACTGAATCATCAAGGAAAAAATTCCTTGTAATGGAATGTATACTACCTCATGTTGAGAAAAAAGCTGAGACTAAATAGGCATAGATCCACCAACTGGCCAAATTATATATTTTAGTGTGGCTTAAAGTCTGTCTAGGTGGATATGGTGAGCACAGTTAATGCCATGTTTTCCAGGACTGTTTGCAGAAGGCCCCTTCCCCAGCTGTGTCCTTCCCAGGTAGGGGCAAGTGGGTGTGGGCTGCCTGGCTGGCTCCAGCCAGGTGGTCTGTGTACTTTCCATGCTGTGGATCAGAGCTGAGACACCACAATTTACACTTGACTCCCTCTGTGAAGATGGGAGGGAAAGCCTCTTTGGAGACTCTGTAGACAGGTTGCAAATTGGTTTTGTACTCAGCCTGCCGTTTATGAAGCATGTAAACTATAATTGGCTTAAGTAAACTTTATTATATTATCATTTTTAGTGATGGGAAGTGGTCAGATGCATCATCAGACTATTCAGGGGCCAGTGTGACTTGAGTGACTTCTCGTTGCATAAACGACAGTGCCTGTTTCCAGTAAGCACTGACATCGTGCTGGTGCTCTTCCCCCAAGCAGGCCTGGCAAGTTCCCGTGATGCCAGATCCCTGGCCATTTCCTGGAAAACTGAGGTGCTCCTGTGACAAGAAGAGCCCAGAGTATCTCATCGCCTTTGGGCATGTGCCTGATGACCATGTGGAGAAGATTCGGGCTGGACCATCAGGCGCAGATAGGTCTTTGATAGAACGAAAACTGATGCCATATTAGGAGTTAACTCAGTCCCCCAAATTGAATCCCTGCTTAGCATTCCGGATGCTGGGTTTTGTTGCCATTGAAGTAGCAGCTGCTGAGCATCGATTCTTTAGGAATAGGGCCGAGATCATGAATAAATACTGACTTTGCCCCCAGTGTTTGTATTTGTCAAATACCAAAAAATAAACAGGAATCCTAAACTGGCTTGTGTGCTGCCACCTGGCTTTCCTACCGGCTCCC